ATGGGAAGACTTGGGAGTGAAGGTCGACGGCCGCTACCCACATCCCCTCTGCATTGCAGATGACATCGTACTTATAACACCGAACTCGAGCAGGCAGAACGANGACGGTGCCGCGAACAGTCTTGTCGATACTGCACTTCTGAGAAGATCTGTGAACTCCAGGGCACTGTCTATTTGATTCAATGTGGAGGATATGGAGAAAAGTACGTGGGGGAGACCGCGAGACCACTGAAGATTCGTCTGGATGAACATAGAAGAGCGTTGGCCAATCCCGCTGCCTATCCACACAGCAGTTTTTCCAGGCACCGTACACTTAGGCATGAGAAAGAAAACGCTTCATCCTTTGATGTGAGGGTTTTGCACAGATATTTGGTACGGCCACTGGAAAGGAAAATCATGGAGGCACGGGAAATATACCGCATCAAGCCGGAAATCAATGCGAAAGAGGAGTTGCATGACCTACTGAGACTGATCACGTGATAACACATAGTCACCTCAGAACAAGAGCGGCTTCCATTTTCCCTTCAAGATCCCCGCCGACAGGTTCATTCCCCCTTTCCCCAATATTTCCGGTTGACTTGGTATGATTCGATGTGTTTTGTATTGTAACTGATAGTAACTGATTGTATGCAGCAATATATTGTAGGTAATTAAGGTCTGACGAAGGCATTATATGCCGAAAGCTCACCAATAAAAGTGAAGAGCATAGAGCTTCGAAAAGTACACAAAACGACAAGATATCGGAAAACAATTCAAATACTTAACAAGTAGAGTTGGTATACCGACTTCTGAATAGGAATCACTATTTTTCATAAAAAATCACAACTTTGTAAAGAAAGAACTTTATATAAAACATGTAGCATTTACATATGTGCAGCCCATTGAGGATGAACAGTATTTCCACAAAGCTAACTAAGACTGAGTTTCGCTATCGAAGGGGTAAAGCCGTTGTAAATCCATTTACTTTTGAGAGTGAGTCATAAACAGAAGAATGTACTTGAATCCAATAATGTGCACCGGCTGACAATACTTGCAAAAACAAACAGCAATGGAATAAGCAGTGATAGACATGTTTAGTTAAAAGCGAAGTACAAAGAGTAGGCAGTAAGGCCCTGGTATTCATGTCTAAAGATCGAACATACCGGCAAATGAAAGATGACTATTAACATGCAACAGAATCGGGAAATTAGAAAATGACACTATTTACTCTTCATTTTAAATTATTTTCAAGGATTGGGTTGGATTCAGTGTGGCCCTAAACATGAATATCCCACTTAATGAACCCAACAAAATTTGGCGCCTCAAAACACCCTAAATCAATAAATTGATGAGAACCCGAACGATTATTGAGTTCGACCCGCTGGAGGTGAATAATGACCATGGGGACGAGCCTCAACATATTTGTAGATTCAGGGTGTCCAAGATGTTCGGGCGCGTGCCATGCCGTTGTAACGGCGGCTTGAGCCTAGGATACCTTCATGTTTAGGGAGTCAACCCTTGGAGACTAGTTCGCAGCAAAACCCATTATAGCCACTGCAATGGGTACATAAAGCCGAAAATTCACACAAACCATCTAATCGCTTACTACAAGCAGGACGACTCAGACAATAATCGGCGAAGCAAAGCATGCAGGGGCGCTGTGCATCACTTTTTGTACATTTTCACGACCAGCCGATTAATCTTTGAGTCGACCTTAATCAGAGATAATATGACTATTATAAAGTGAAAGTACCACGAACAACGATCTTTAAATAATCCTGTAAATCACGTTTGAGTTTTTAAAAGGAACAAGCAACGAGGAACCTAACGACGACTCATCGGTGGCCCTTCATACCACCAGCAATGGATATTTTCTAGCTCCAGCCTCAGAAACCTTCCTACAAATTAAATTATGTGAGCAGCGGAACAACCTCATTGTTCGAGCGACTTCTCAATTTTCTTCACAAATTCGATGCAGGAGGAGCGATACTGCTCCGGATGGGAGCGAAGGTGCTGGACGTGTTCAGAATTCGTGAACACGACCTCAACAACATCACGTCCCAGACTCTTCTGATGATCCAAGAATCTTTTCACATACCTGCAAATTATATTAACCAAATCTATAACAAATTATCACCTTGAGCTCGATGATGACACTTAATTCGGCTACCTGTGTAAGCGAGCCATTCATGTAAGAAATGAGTCAGGTAATGATTAGGGAACAAGCCAATTCGACAGCACAAAACTTGAACAATTACACTTTGGAACTTATTCCGTAATGTGATATAAGCCTGTTGAAAAATTTCGTGGATGAAAATAAACCCGTCTGTCCGTGAAGGAAAACAAACCGTAGGATATTTTCCATCATTCTCACGGACAAGTGTGTCAGATTCCCGGATTTATCTCAGTCGTTGGATTTATCCCGTCCGCGTGGGCAAGAAATGGTCAAATCGCAATAGCGAAAATCTCCAGCTTTTCACCAATTGAGGAGCTTTTTGATAACAATGTGACGGTCTCGACACCGCTCACTATCGGCAGTCAAAAAGACAAATGATGGACGATCTAAAGTCTGTGACTTCCCTTGCGGTTAGAAGTAGAAGTAAAAGGGTTTTCCTAGTGAAAGCAAGTTTACAAATCAGCAAAGTAGACGCATCGAGTTTTGAATGACACCTCAAAAGGTATATCATAAGCAAACACTGGGACCCTTTATTCAAAGAACATTTTTGACCATTCCTACAACAACCTATAAATAATTAACTATTATTCAATTAGAACCTGATAATAAATAACATACTTACTTGTATCTAATTAGTTTGTCCTCGCGAGAATAGAGGAAAAGAAGAGAATTAGGCAAATCCGCACACTCTCTTAAATAGTAATACATAGAAAGATGGGGTCGAATAGCTGGCCACACGGCACTGACTGAATTTGCCTTAAAAACATCCATGAGGTAAACATGATAAACTACAAAAGCAGCGGAAAGAGTACCGACCAAAGCCTTTCTGAGGTTGAATGCCACCATGATCATTTTACGTCGCGTATCCGTACTAACCCAACTGAAACCTTCCATTGGAGGAGTGGAGACGACCACAGCGTGGGAGTCTGGACCAGCAGTCGTGCGAGCGGGAGCACTTCAAAAAACAGTGCATCGTTCAAGTTTAAGTCGCACACAAGTTGATAACACAAAACCAAGATCACGAAAAGGTTTCCCACCTGTCGAAGATCAGGCCCTTAATTCGCTGTCGAAGATGAGTCATCCTTTCTGCTTCGGTCCATTTCCACAATGATATTAAAGTTCTAACACCATTCATTGAGAATATATGACATATCAGCGGACTAAAATAGCCAATGTCATTATGATGAACGAAGTTATCCGATAATGAGTAGCACGGGAGAGGGCGATCACTATACAAATAGTTATGGTACCGCTTTTTTGGATCAATTGCATACCGAAAACCTAACTATTCGCCCGACACGCAACGAGCAGCCTAGAGTATTACCTGAAAGACTTGCCTGTCGCACCGGCACTGTGCCAAGAGACGTCAGAGAGAATGTGGTAGATGTGGTTTAGCGCTAGGGAATACAAGCCAAACTACTGAACGCCGCCGCGAATAACTACAGAAGACTAGTCGCGAGTTTGCGTGAGACATCACGATTTTGGTCATTTTGTATACCCAAAATAACGATGTCCCTGGAATCGTGGTATTTGGGCGACCAAACCCTCAGATAATATCTTCATCAAAGAGCGTAGTCAGCATCGTGAACATTTCAAGCGCTACTCGGTAACGCGGTTCCTGCAGTGTCTTCACGGTGAGATTAAATGCAAGTGATGCAGAATTCCGGAGACAACCTATTTCATTCTACAAAACAATCTTGCTTGGATGCACAATACATCACCTGTCACATATACAACGTACGAACTATGATCTGAGCAAGGATACGAATCAACCATAGAGCCGCACCACAGCTCTGTAGCTACCACAGGCCGGTGAGGCAGTATAAAAAGCTGGATGATCGTAAGAACCTGATTCCGCACTGCATTTCCGTTTCAGAAGACAGAGAGGGCAGCATTCATGTCGCGATGTGGGCAGCAGTCCAGTGAAACAATGACCGCTTTTGTCACGATGTACGATACATACATGTAGAATATCATTCTCGAGAGCATGTATGGAATGTGGAATGGGAAGACTTGGGAGTGAAGGTCGACGGCCGCTACCTACATCCCCTCTGCATTGCAGATGATATCGTACTTATAACACCGAACTCGAGCAGGCAGAACGAATGCTGGCCGAGTTTGATAGTGCTGGTGGAAAGATCGGCTTGATGCTGAACCTAACGAAGACGATGTTCATGAAAAACGGACTGGTACCTGATGCTCCTTTCACGTTAAACGGAACGAATATCTCCGAATGCTCTAGTTATGTGTATCTAGGTCGGGAAGTCAACATGATGAACGACCTAGCTCCAGAGCTGTGCAGAAGGAAACGCGCCGCGTGGGGAGCATTTCAGAATATCGAGGGAGTAGTGAAGAAGACAAAGAACATCCGGCTCCGCGCTCACCTTTTCGACACTGCTGTTCTTCCTGCTTTGGTGTGAGCAGCGGAGACTTGGATTTTACGAAAGCAGGATGAGCATGCTGTCAGCGTTACTCAACGCGCTTTGGAAAGGACGATGCTCGGAATTTCCCTATACACCCAAGTGCAGGAGGGAATCCGGAGTTCCGAGCTCCCTCAACGAACGAAAATCAGAGGTGCCGTTAATTACGCCAAGAAATCGAAGATCAGGTGGGCCGGACACGTTACGCGATAGTGACAGGGCTGTTACTGACTGAATCCCTCGGGACATCAAACGAACTCCGGGAAGGCCGCCAACGAGATGGTCAGACTTCTTCACAAAAGCTCTGAAGGAAAGGAATGTTCAACCTCGTATCTCTGAGGCGAGGACGATTCACTGGACCACTCTGGCTCGTGACAGGGACGAATGGAGACCTTACCAGCGCCCACTCGAGGAAGTCGATGATCAACGGGACGACAGGTGATCCAGGTGATACGATACATGCATGCTATCATTGACGCAATATACAAGTCAGCGTTCAACGTTTTTGAGAAGCTCCAGCTCGTTGGTCAGGTTTTACTTGACCATTTATCGAGTGATTATCGTTGTCACACCGATTGCTTACAGTACTATCAAATGCGGTTCCCCTGAGTCCAAGTTGATTGCGTGAGGGAGCGGCTCAAGCACGTTTGATGCTGGTTTGTACCTAGCAAACACGTGACTGCAACATTGCCAACGCTACTCGCGGTTTACACTCTTAATGGAAAAAGGGGTCGTCGGCAAACAATTCTTAGAGATCGGTGTCATTAAGGTTCGGCAAAAAATGGAACTCTAATGTGAAGGGGTCGCACTTAATGAGTTATCCGATACTAACCTGTGTTTGAAACTCTCGAAGTTTCCTGGCTTGGCATCAATTCCTCGAAAAACAGGTGAAAGATAGAAACCGTTTCGTGCATTTGGTGTCGTATAGTGATAGCAAGGAGCAATGAAGGACACAGTTCGGTAGCTGAAATATAGCGCATTTTGCTGTGAACCTTCAGGTGGCAACCAACTTCCCGACGCTTTCGAACCTCATCTTTCCACATACCTTCATTTGTTTTTCGACACAACTTTTTACTTACTCGGAAAGGGTTCTATTGTTTTTCTGCTGGAGTTAGGGGTAATTTGAGATCATCAAAGTTGTGTAGCTGAAAAGTGAGGAAGGCAGGAGCCATGCGATACTTTTTCGATTATAATTGTACTGCTGAAGCAGCGACGGCTGGTTTAAGCGTACTCGTCTAATTCACTAAATCACAAATCCGGTTCTAGAAGTCAAAAGTTCCATTTACGAACATATTCTAGCCAGTTGTTCTTTCACCTATGGTACCTTCCCAAACATGCGTAGCCTCACAAACAGCTTTTTTGGTCCTAGAGCTTGAGCGGAAGCAAAAAAATGTATCCAAAATGCTGTTGTTCTCAACTCGACATTTCTGTCCAATTATCAGAAAGTTAACAGAAATGGAGCTTGCCTACCCTTGTTCCGTGTATATATCGCTGTACTTCGCTAGCTGCTCATGCTCAGCTCCAGCCCATCCGATGAGTAGTACCACCGGCTTAAAAGGATCGACTGGCAATGGCTTTTCTTGAAAAAAAANAAAAAAAACTACATAATCATATCGATCACCAAAACTTCTGTAAGCAACTCACTATCTGATCCTAGTGGATTTCTCACTATGAGGCGAGGTTCGTAGACATGACGAGAAAAGAAGGAACGTATCTGATGAAACCCACCAAGAAATGTGTTACAATTTCTTGCCAGCATTTGCTATGAAAACTGTTAATATCATGAACTAGATGAGCATCGATAAGGAGGTAAAGAATCATTTTGCTCGAATGTATCCTCATTGATAACCGTAATTTGGCCATTCAGCACAACAGTGAGCATCCCTCGCACCACAGTACTAGGTCCGTAGTTCGACCTGATCTCCCTGGATACTTCACGAAGGTGCCTAATGGCTATGAGGCATAGAATTATTTCAAGGTATATACCAAAATGAACCGAAACACTGCAAAAGAAACACTTTATATGAACAGCAACCAATGCAAACGAAAGAAAACAGAAAACAGGCATTAACAACAGGCGGTAAATGAGGCAGATGATTGAGATATCGTTGAGAACATTCAGTTTAAGTGAAGTTTATAAAATCTTTATGCGAAATAGGTCACCATCAAGGAAGCAGTTCTACGATCCCGATGAACGATATTTTCCAAACAAGGAAATGGAACAACATGAGAGAATATTTCTGATCTCCAATAATTACAATAAAACAATACAATACAATAAATAATAATTAGTCAGGTCTGAAAATCTCAGGCAAATACTGACAGAAATCTTCTGCCATCAATCATCTAAGCATATAACTTCCACCGCTTTCGAATCCGTTACACCCGCAAAAGCATCCTCCGCCTCCATACGACGTCGCTTACTGGGGACTGTTTGATCTTGAGTCACTACAAAATTAATATTGAAATTTGCTGCACACCGCAAAATGAGCAACAAGGAAAGAAAAAAAAATTGCGCGAATATCGTTAAAAATTCATCAAAATTGTGGTCAAGTATGAATACGCCCATGAGCGGTCAAAAGGCGTTAACGGATTCGCGTGCCCTTGCACTGATAAGGTCTTTTTATTCAACATAACCGTGAAATATACCAATACCTCGACTCAGCAACTGTGGAAATCAAATAAAAGTTCCATGAGTCTAGACCATTACACAAAACTATATATTACTGATATTAAACCAAGTGCCTTTGACCCAGTGCCTTTGAAACCATTTAAAATTTGCGCACCAGCCGGCAGGGACAGCTATTTCCACTCATAGTTTCACTCTAAAAGAAACGTTTTCATGAGTCTTGCCATTCAACTCCTCATGCATGACTACCAATCCTAAACGGAATCACCTACGATGCTTTTTCCACGATACTCAGAAACTTTCCCGCAATTTTCTTTACCCACACTTGATTGAAATTTGGGCGCGGTTTCCCTGTACTGTTGCTATGAATACGGACAGTAACGAAACATAATTCCTGCCCAAACTTCTGCAGTTTTAATCTTCATCCTACGAGTTTGAGGGTGATTGGCTCGCGCTCAGCGTCTGGTGCACATCACTCGTTTGCTTGTTGCCCTCAAGAGACTATACATATCAAATGTTTTCCAGCGCCTGTCCGAATCGTTAACAATGATAACTTCGAACTACTGATCTTTGAATACGAACATGTAAGTCCAGAAAACATGGTCATCCATAACCTAATCAAAACATATAGAACAAGCAAATAATCTAAAGCTATACGTACCAGAAGGAGGTGAATGCGTAGTGCTGTTGTGTTTATTAGTAACCATGCAATCATCCACATCCTTCTCCTCGTTGTTCAGCAAACCGTCAATTGCACACTCCATTTCATCAACATTTGAGCACTGTGCAGCGTCTATCGGTGACTAAATTAACGACGATCATAGAAGGAACTTGTTCGAAAGTCGTAGCAGCTTCAACATAACAAAGGGTAGAAACAGTGCTGTTTCTTCGCTGACCACTGCTGCTTGCTTATTTCAACTTATTCAACGCTCAGGGATAATGTTCCACACCTCCGATGCGTCAGCTTTCTCATGCGGTTCACACTTCGAAACGTCTGAGCCTTGAACCTTCGCCTCAGTGATACATACCGATTCATCCTCTGGAAACCATTTAATTGATTTCAATCTATTATGTTCTTGATTGCAACTACAGGACGGAGGTAAAAATAAGGGCAAAGCAGCAACGAGTTAATTTTAAAATTTTTGAGTACCTCTAAAAAATAATGGACACTAACAATTTAGGATGATTTCGAAGCTGAAACACAGCAAAAGGGCTTTCTTCCAAGTCCCTCATCTTAGGCAGCTTCACAGTTCTTCTAAGCCACCTATTCTAAAAAGCATAACAATGCTTTGATGCAGTAAGAAAAGCTTGCAATGGTATCCCAGAAAGAAACCACGATGAAATGGAAAGAAAATGAGAGCTGGAAGGTTGAAATATAGAAGTTGGGGAAAAAACGCGACCGGATCTATTGGCACATCAAACAAATACATTCACTCAAAACTAACCAGCTTGGAAACTAATAGGCGAGTGGCTTTGTGGAGTTGAGCATGAGGAAGGCTGAAACGGCTTTTTGAAATCGTGAATTATGTTTAGGTAACATGATATCGTATTTAAAAAGCAAATAGACTTCAAATACATATTGTTCACTGAAAGCCCTCCTTTTCGTTAAAATATGAGAACTCCAATCAAACATTTCAGTACTTTGTTTGTGCGTTTCAAGGGCCAACTCCTGTGTTCTCTGCCCTATCAAGAAGTGATTTTTTCCTTGGAAGAAGAAAGAGAAGTATGGTAATTATGAACAGATCAAGACAGGACCTGAACAATTTCGGTGCGAATTTATTGGGAGTTTCGACTGGCATGTCTTTATTTAGAGGCCACAACCACTGGAGGGAAAGAAAAATGTGATGCCTTGTTAGAAGGAGTCTCGTTGGACACATGAAAAGTTTGAATTCTTTCGTACGGATTCGTGCTAATCAACTAGCGACAGGCTCGAAAATTGAAATTTTCATGCGAGATCGAGCAGAAGTTGAAATAAATTAAATGAATTGAAATGAGCTTAAGTTACCCGAGAAAGTAACAGTATAATAGCAGGACGACATTGAATTAATATACTGAGTTATCTATGAACAACTTCGGCTATCTAAATTATTATATGCGACAATTACGACCTTTAGAGACTCCTCATCCTCAACATCATCTTCTAATTCCTCTCTCTCATCCTCATCATCACCATTTTCGGATGTAATGTCAATTTCGTCACCAGGAGCAACTTGTTCCGGATGCTCCCGTTCCCATCTCCCTGCAGCCTGCATTTCCTGGAAAATACGAGCATCAAGCGAAGCCGTAAGTGGTCAGTAAATACACCCATAACCTTACCATGTGGAATATCTCATCGGGTACACCCCTTTGTGAGGCACTATCGGACAAGAATTTTCGCATTTCGGCATCGAGCTCAGGAGGAGCGATGCATGAAGATCGTTCTCAAAAATAATTGCAATCATATTCAAGAACTTAACTTCAAAAATTGCAAGACAGACAATGTAAGATACCAAAACTCACCCGACTTAGGAACGAATAGCTCAAGTCGATCTAAAAATTGACTGCTGACGAAGTTTTGATGGGCACGAGCTACCACCAGCGCCACATGTTCTAGTAGGTCCACTAAATGTATCCAATTAGTCATCACCACGGTGAATTCTTTAGAAAAACGTAAGACAAGAAGAAATCTATAATGTCAAAAAAGGAAAACGTCACAAATCACGTACAACAAAACGATAGATCAATTTTAAGTAATTCGAGATTCAAAAGAAACCTATAAAAGTGTAGCACTTACAAAACGCTCCACTTTCACGTTCAGGATCTGGAATATCGGAAGAATCCCCTTGTTCTGCTCGCACTTCCTTCATTACTTCATTCAGTTCTTCAAAAGATAGCGTGCTAAATTTTGATGTAAAAGAGCAAAGTAAAGGCGGAATGCATACTAAAATATTTACGTTGTCGTTCCATTTTTCTTTAGCTTCTCATTAAAAAGTCGAGTGAGCTTGTGGTTCAGAAGCTCGTTCCCAGTTTCCGCAACTGCGACTTGATAGGAGGACTTGTTGGAATAGCTGTAATAGCAAGAACTATTCATGGAGCTAAAGCTCATACTAAGGAAAAATAGCGAACAATGCTTCCAAATCTTCATCCACATCCTCCAGAACACCGTTATCGTGCAGCTTCTTTTCTATGGAGATGAGAAACTTCTTCAGCTGAACAATTACTCGATTACAAGCCCACTTGTAACGATGTGATAAATGAAGGCTTCCATACAGAACAAAAAAACTAACGTCTCTCTCTTTGTTGAAGTAAAATTGCTCCTTTGCCTCGTCTTCAGGGTTAAGCGACACTTCGCGTTGCTCCAACTTTTCTAATTGCTTGATTATTTTCTAAACTCGAAGTTATTCGAATCTGCGAGTTGCCGTGAAAAACTTTCGTGAGTAGTTCACTCTGCATCATCGTGCAGGAACGAAAGGCATTTTGAGAGATCAAACTAGTTCTGAGGATAACAGCAGTATTTGTTCGAAGCTTCCAAATCACTGCATTCAAAAGTGGAATAGGGATCACACTGAGCACTCAAAATTACAAGCGGTACCTCTAGGAATTGGAGCTACTGCAGTAAAAATAGTCGCGTCTTTAAACAAACGCGGCGGAAGTCGAAGGCAGCGAGAGTTGATTGATGTGCGCGGTGATTACGTGATTACTACCACACTGAATCATTTTTGAGCGTTTAAATGCCTATGTCTCGCTTTTTTACCTTTTCCATTGATTGTTTATAGGGTTGTCATTCAGTGCTTGATAATTCCGTAGACTATTTAACTACGAATAGACTGAGAATGCTTTCCTTTCCCTTTTCAGATCCGGCGGAATAAGGTCCGCCACTATAAAGAAACGGCCGGGGTAAAACCAAAACTGGCAAGGATGATCTCATGAAGCAGACGAAGAGGAGCATCGGATTGAGTGAGATGCTGACCTCATTCAAACGTTGAAATGGAAGAGGAACTAAGTGATGGACTACAGTTTCAGTGATAGAGCACATGTAGGGGCGAAAAAAGAGTATTATTTATGACAAGGGAGGGAGTCAGTATTCTATTCTCTCAGGAAGAGTGAAACTTTGGGTCAATAAAGTTGACCACAGCATTTTGAACACCAAAATCACCGAAAATAGCGGACTTCTTTCTGGACATGTCAATTGGTGCAGGATCTTTGGCAGCAGCAATACTAACCCATTGGGTGCTTTCACAGTCCGCCGGCGAGCCGGCGCACCGACGTAAAACGAATTAGTTCGTATGTAAGAAATGTACGTCTGTTGCATTTTATTTCACTGTTCTGACTGCTTTCATAGTCCGCCGGCCGGCGGACTATGTAAGCAGCCATTGAGTAGTACAGATACGCTGCCACACAACACTATAATATCGAGAGGGCTCATTCAAAAGTGCATCTCATGATGAAACCTTTTTCTTTGAGTCATCCCAAATCTTTCAAAACACAGCAGAAATACTAAGTAGCTAGGCAACTTTTTTCAGCACAATAGAGCAAAAAGGCGTCTCTTCGCGATGCAAAATGAAATTCTCATAATATTAAATCTCGTTCAACTGGAAAAAGTGAAGGATAACTTATACAGAAATTCGGCGATCACTTAACGATTAAGAATATTTAGAAAAACAATGGATAAGAGTAATGGATAAAGACTTGGAGCGTTAGTCAATCCCGTCTTAGGGATGCGCCCCCGCACTCGACTTCCATTCAGAATCGTAGTGGCGTACTGAATGCGTATGTGGCCTATACAATGACTTGTGGTGGCCACCGATGTGCAAGTCAGTGCTTTTATCCTCCCAGACGAGTCTGGTACTAATCAAGCGACCCTGGAGGGATAGAAGGCTTGGTTGGCTTAGGTAGATATCGATCCGGGATCCGAACCCGTGACAAGCGTCTGTGAAATGCGCCACTTACCACTACACCACTTCCGCCCATTTAGAAAAATATACGTCGAAAACAAATCGCCTTTCCTTCAAAAATGAGAAGCCGAAATTGCTTGTACATGCGAAGTTCCAGGGGAGATAACGTATTTCGCTAATCTACAGTCTAGAATTTCAACCAAATCTTGCAGCTTTTGTTTATGTTCTAGGACCTCGATTAACCAATAAGGTTGACCTTGACATGACTCAAGATCACGGATTGAACAAGGGACAAACTATAGCATAGCCAACTATCTCCAACAAATCTAATCTACCAATTTACCTTTAATTTTGAATTGGTTTGTAATTTTGGTTCTAAAAACAGAACTTAAAACTGGACACAAACGTTCCAAAACAACCTTACGCTAATTGTGACCTCGCAAAGTGGATAAGCTTAAGTATAAAATCTGTTAGCGCACCGTAACTGAGACCGTTTATAGGAAGAAATCAAGAAGTTGAACTCACCTCCCGAGTGTCTATAAGCTGCCGGATTTTCGAATGAGACAACGGTTTTTTGCTGGTCGACTGAGTTTCGGTCGACTGAGTCTCGCTTGTTGAGGGTAGGTTCTCCATGAAGGTGATTACGCCTCGGCCTTAACAATTTAGGCTAATACTGACTTTTAGTGGCAAATCGAACGAAAAAACAAAAACATTCATTTCAAACATAAGGAAACCCTACGACGATGAATTTCAGAAGAGAACAATAAAAAACACGATGCACCTAAAGCCGAATAGACCCAATAAAGAGCTTGTACACTAGTTTGATGAGCCCTAAACGAGCTGTTTTGTTAAATGGATTCGCCATCATCGCCAAGCGCTCGGAAACTAAGTCACAGGTTAGATTTCAGAAAAATGATTGCCTCACAGAAAAAATATTTTAAAATTGAATTTGTTCATAGAGTACTCAGGTACTTGGTTCATAAGTATGAGTCAGTCACTTTGAAATGGTGATTACCCTTTAAATCACAGTTTGAAGTACTCAGAAAAACTCATAGTTGTCAACCCATACAAGGCGGACTCAGAGATGCAGAAGTGACACACAATACGACATTAGAGGTATCATAGATCGAAATGAACCAGTACTTGCTCAGCGAATCGAAAAAGGCTAAGAACAAGCATAGCAGAAACGGAGTGGCTTCCGAAGTCGCCCGATGGGGCCAGTGCGGGCTTTCAGGATGTCCCCATACCACGCAGACTCGCCAACTCACCGCGATGCGCATGTGGATATGTCGAGTTCTGTTGCGTTTACACAGGAACCACCACGATTTAAGACGTTTCAACTTGTCGGTTAGGCTTTGCAGTGAAAATGTAGTTGAGATGGGGGCCATCGCCCTTACCCAACACTGAGCGCTAGATCACAGGGAAGGAGGGGTACCCGATTTCGATAGCCTGGAATGGTACTTAGAGCCGTTCCTTAGTCAAGAAAATACAGTTTTTGCTAAAGTCGCGGAAGGAACGTCTGCGTGGGTGAGTCAATAAATGTTCCATTCTTATCCCATCCCAGCACTTTCCACGAGGTAACTGGTCCAAGGAGGGAGAACACTCCTTCTTAGGGTATACGGTAAATCTGTAATCCTTCCAGTAAGAGCCGTCCCTGAGCATAAGCATGTTTGGCTACTTTTCTGCTCTGCGCTCTAGCGGTCCGCGTTGAGAAGGGGTAAGAGGGAACCCCCAGTCCCACCTCTAGCGGAAGGGCGAAGCAGGTGAAACTAAATTTTCATCCACATCTTTAACCCATTGGCGACAGCGCGCGTTTTGGATTTTTCGGCCGCGTGGGGCATGAGCGTTTTGGCGGGTGCAGCCGGCTTGACGCGCATGCGCGTCAAGATGTCCCACGAGGTGCACTTCCTGGAAGCCAAAGCTGAGAGGCAACTTCAAAAGCGTATTATGTTGGTGAATGAGAAGAGTAGTCGACAGGGTGGTGCTCTGCCTGACTGCTACCTCTCAGCGATATAGAAACAGCTTCAGAGCACTTGTAACGCGAAGACAGGAAATTGCCACCTAGAGGCCTAGAAGGCTGTAGGAAAGGGAGAATCGGGGGTAGCAAGAAATTTTGCTCGCTATTAGTGAAACCTGGAATATGC